CTATAATATAATTCTTATTTTCAAATATTATCAAATAAAATTTTATTTAAATATTTTAAAATTTAAAAAATATAAATCATAAACATATTTTTAACAATTTTTTAGACAAATTTGCTTGAAAAAGCTTACAAATTAAGAGATAATAATAAAAAAATACTTATTTAAATTTTTATTATAAAAAAAATTGAAATTTTTTTTGTATTAAAATTCTTGTTTTTAGAAAAAAATTTTATTTAAATTTATAGAACATAAGTATTTTTAAAGGTTTTTTTATATAAGAGATTACAGCTAATTATATATATATTTTTGATATCTAATTTAAGTAATCCACTTATATATTACTATATAAGGTTTATACTAAATGTTATATCTGCAAGTCAACTATAACTCTTGTATATTTAAACTTTATATATGCAATCTATCTTGTATTATAAAAACATTTTCAAGACATTAGTCTATTCAAGTTTCTAATTTTTATCTATATTCTTAAATCTATTTTATTCTTGACAGAAGACTTACTAAAGTCTATTATATTTCATATACAGCTAATCTAGTTTTATATAATATGTTATAGTTATCTGATATTTTTAATTACAGAGATTATCTATTTAATTACTATATTATATTATTTTTATTTTTGTAAACTTTACTAGAATTTTAATACAGTCAGACCTCTCTATAGTTACACTTTATATAATCACACCTCTATATAGGCACCTAATTTTGGTAAATGAATTGTTGCAAAAAATAAATAAAAAACCTCTATATAAGCACAACCTCTTTATAAGCACATTTCTAAAAAAAGTTACTATCATCCCAATTATGTGATTATAGAGAGGGTTGACTGTATTTATTTTTTTAATTTTTTTTTATTATTTTCTATTAATTATTATTTAGAACTAATAGACTCTAACTAGACTAATAATCTAGATACCTTAGCATAATATACTTATGTATTTTTTTTCTTTAATGAATCTGATAGTTTAGTTAATTATATGCTTCTTTACATATATTTTATATTTAGTTTTATTTAATCTGTTTTTTTAAAGATGATTTATAAGTTTTAATTAGTTTATTAGTACTATTAAAAGTTTATGCTATCTTTTTACTTAGAAATTTTAAAGTAAATTTTTAGTATTTCAGTTTCTTAGTCTTCTATAACTAGTAATCTTATTATAGATTTGTACTAAAGTCTTATACAATGCTAATAAACATTCTTCTATATATATGTAATGTTATATTTTATATAGATAATCTAAACTTTCAAATTATTAGATTTAATATATCTAAATTATAGCTACATGAGACCAACTAATTAACAGAAGACAGTTACTATAATATAGATATAATTTTTAAATATTATTATAAATAGAATTTAAACATTAAACTTGTTATTTAATCCAACTATTATATTAAAATTGTTATTTTAAAAAATTAGAAATTTTATATAGTATAATTAATAATATTTATATATAAAAAATTAGTAATAAAGATGTAGTAACTTAGTAAAGTAAATAAGTTATCAACCTTCTAAATAATAGGTTGAATGTTTAAATCTTATTAACAATAAAAATTTGAATAATTACTTATATAATATGTATTTGTATTATAATAACTGTTTCTAATAATTGTGTTAGAATATCTATAATAATAGGCATATTAGTATAACTAGCAAGTTATAGAGCATTTGTATAAGTATGATATTATACAAAAGAATACAAACTAGCATTAGGCAGTACAAACTTTAGATAAGCTTTTGTGTTTATATAAATTCATTAAAATTAGAAAACAAAATGTCTATTTGGAAAAATCTAATTAAAAAGATAATACAAATGTTTGACAACATTATTATAAAGACTAGATCTAAAAAGGTCATAATATCCAAATAGGCAAGAACCTTTAGATTGGAAGTCTTAAAGATATTATCAACTAGAATATCAGAATAAACTAAAGAAAAAGAATATTGAGCTGATTCAATATATTAATAAACTAGTTATAGTTCTATATAGACTATCTAGATTAAAAGTTTAATAAAAAAACAGGAGTATACTAAAGTACAAAAGATATACTATAAAGTAAATACTAAGTTTTGAATGAATTCTATAAAAGCATAGCAATTAAATAATATAACTCTGACTACAAATGTTGGTTTTGCTATAGCAATATCAGATTAGTTGTAAAAATAGATGCAGAAGGCTCTAAAAGATTTACCTAAAAGATAAAATAGTTTTAAGGTTAAGACAATAATTTGGGCTTAATCTAGTAATATTAATACAAATACAGGTTTAAAGGATTTAAAATAAAACACCCAAGCCAGAGTGTTAAGTATAGCAATTAGTAAAAAACCTTTAAGCAAACTTCTTAAATAGGTAATATAGAAAAGTTACATGTATAGCTAATTGTATACTTTTTTTATAATGATTTATAGAATTATATTACCAAAAAAGTTATTAATAAAAGTCAAAAAACCAAAGAAATTATTTAATACTAAAAAAAATTTAATAATTATGAAATTTTTTTAGAATTTAAAATTTTTATTTATATTTATATATATAAAATAAATCTTTAAATAGGTTAAACAAATAAATAAAAAGTGAATAATAGATAAATAATAAAATAAAAGCTTTATTATTCTATTTATATCTCTAAATAATAATAGTAAAAAAGTAATATAATAGTATAATAATAATAAAATAACAAAAAGTTTGTTAATATTAATAATCTAATAGTAATATATTAGCAAAATAATAAACTATTTTATTATTTTATTTTTAGTTATAAAGATTAAAAGTAAATAATAAAAATATTTGAAGTTGAGTTAGTAGAAATCAAGCAAATTTTTTCCAAGTAATTTTTTTTAAAAGTTTGAATAATAATAACTTAACAATAACTTAATTAAATTTAATAACTTTTTTTAAAATGAGTTTTATAAACTTATAGAATTTATTTAAAAAAAAATTTTATTAAATTTGATTAAGTTTTTGTTAAGATATTAGTATTTAAAGTATTAAAAAAATTCAATAAAAACAATTTGCTTAATTTTTACTGACTTAACCTAATTTTATTATTTTACTAATATATTACTATTATATTATTAATATTAATAAACTTTCTGTTATTTATTATTATTTTGCTATTATATTATCATTTTGTTATTATTATTTAGTAGATATAAAGTAAAATAATAAAAAATTTTATTTTATTATTTGTTATTTATTTATTTGTTTGATTTATAAACTTATATATTAATCACACTCTTTCTGATGATCTCTCATACCAGCTTTTTTCCAAAAGTCTGACCTACAAAAACTATATAGTTATCATATTTAAATATAACAAAACTTTACTTTGGATAATTAGAGAGGCTATTCACTGCATGTTTGGTTGTAACTGAAAAGAGCTGAAAAAGATTCGAACTCTTATAAGTGAAGTCCCTTAGTAAAACATAAGTACTATCAAACAAAGAAGTAGTAGATAAGCTCTGAAGCTTTGTTAAGTGCTATAAGGGCTTAGGCCTAAATAGTTACTTGGTTTAATTTAATATTCTATATAACATAACTCTTACAACTCCTTTTCAAGTTGGCTCTTTTTTCTGCTTTCACTACTGGATTTTTCTTTCAGAATTTTTACCAAAAAGTAGGAAATCTAGCGTACTTTCTCTAAAGAATCGATATTGTTTATCTTTTCAAATCAGTAACATTAGTTATAAGAAAAACATGAGATAAGTATCGGACCTATAATGAATGACATATGTTAAACTCAAGAGGAAAATAAAAACTTCATCCATTCTCCCTATGTGATAAATAGAATATGTTATAGTTATTATCTGGGTTGTAAAAAATAACTAAATTTGTACAGGTTAATCAGTGTTAAAATTTGATCGGTTGATGTCTGGGCCCCGCAAGGGCTCAGACATCAATTGGTCAAATTTTAATACTGGTTAACCTGTGCAAATTTAGTTATTTATACAATCCTATATAATAACTATATTATTGTATAGGTTTGACATAACAACCCATGTGTCACTTAATACTTTAATAAAAGTTAAAAAAAATTAATTAAAAGTAATGATCAATTTGTAAATAAAAAAAGAATTTTTAGTGATTTAAAATTGATAACACATTTATTCTGTCTTATTAAAATATCAAACAATTTATAAGAAGAAGTACAATGATTATCTAACCTTTCTAAAGTTACAAACACTAATAAAAACACTGAAAAATGGCTTCATCATATAACCTGTTATATAAAAGAAAATAATATTTAAAAAAACCTAGACTAAATTAACAATAGAGATGAACTTGATAAATTTCTCAGTTTGTTTATTGCATGGTTAAAGCGAAAAGATGGAACATCTTTTAAAGTAGAGTTAGTTCATAACTGTTATGCAGCCTTGGCATGCTATTTAAGAGAACATAGTGCAATTGAAAGTGGAATGCGTTTATGGGATAAATATTACTTTCCTAAAGCATTAAAATGTCTTGATGAAAAAATGCGTTTATTACAAATAGATGGATATGGTGATACAAATTCAAGTGATGCCTTAACTTCTGATGAAATTACTGCTTGTTTGAATTATAATTACCTTTTAGTTACAAATAATGAAGGGTTAACAAGACGAATTTTTTTTTGGTTATCATTATTGTGTGGCCTTTGTAGAGGAGATACAAGTAATTTGCAGTATCATAATGTCAAATCTTGAGCTAATGGTGGGTTACAACTACGATTTAGAAAAGAAAAAAATAATCAGAAAGGAGTTTTTCAATGTAGACAATATAGTCATACTGCTACATGTACTGTTCTGATTCCTTCTGACAATAATAAAAATCAATTTATACTAATAAAAGGTATAATTTTATACTTATCTAAATGTCCTGCCAAATGTCAAGATTCTGATCCACTTTTTTTAGAATGTGTTAAAAAAACATTTGGTATTTTATTTTGTTATATAAATTTAATTTCTAAGTTTAAATTTTTTTTATACAATTTTATGTACATATATATATATTAGATATCAAAAATGGAATTTGATACAAACCTTAAAAAAATGTTACACCAAATTGCTGTTAATACTGGTATTATTCTTGCTGATTGTAAGATCACAAATAATAGTGCAAGACGAACTGCTATTATGCTTCTAAAAGCATCTGATACACCTGAAGATGAATTAATGGCTTTTTCAGGTCATTGATCATATGAGGGTATTAGGTCTTATAGCAAACCTACAGATGATCAACAGTTAAACTCTGTAGCATCACTTATACTATTTGCAACAATTGAGAAAGATCTAGAAGAATATTATAATTACTTTGGAGAATCTTATATTATATATAAATCAGAAGAAAATAATTCGAATACTGGTAAAGTTTAAATTAAATGTATTATACATAATAAAATTTTTATATTTTTAACTATATATATCTAAATTTATAAAAATGACAATATCTAATTCAAATTTAAGAATATTAAAACATGGTACTACATATTTATTATTGTTAAACAAAACTGCTAAATTATTATTTATCTGTTATTATATATTATTTTTAGAAATTTCTATAACATCTACTATGGCTAGTTTTGAATCTGAAATAGGCAGAGTGTGGCGACTTAGTGAAGTGGATAAGTTGTCATACCCCCAAGTAGTAGGTTGTGAGTTTAAAACTCATCGACGGCGAAATTTGAATAATCACTATGTAATATATAGACAATATTACGGCGACGGCATTCTGTTGATCAGTTGAGATAGGATACCTGTAACTATGGTTGCACCAGTATGACTGGCAGGTCTGGGGCATCTGTATAATCTGTTACACAGAGGAATACAAACTGGTACTGGGCAGTGCAAACCTAAAATAAGTCCTCAGGCTGTGTAAATCTGTAGAACTGAGAAGCTGGAGCCCACTTGGAAATTCCAAGCAGAGAGGTAATATGGATCTTCGACAGTACTACTGTAAAGGCTAGACCTAGGAAATGGATACCAATAAAAAGAATTTGGGTGGGCAAAAACCTTGGGTGA